CTTTGGACAGGTAGATCCCTTAATTTAAGTTCTCTTAGATCCTGGGAATCAGCTGCCTATATCCATGATTCCTCAAGTAAGTTTGAAAAATTGGGTCTGCGAGGCAAGAAGTGTATCTTTATAAGATATTTAGATCGGTCCAAAGGATATGTGTTCATAAGTGAAAATCAAGATGGGACTATAACTGAGATAGAATCACGTGATGTAACGTTTCTTGAGAGTGATTTTCCTGGTAAGGGAGAAATTAAAAAGTGAGAACATTTGTATGAATTAGATGATAGAGTTGTATTTGATGGATCAACTAGGGTGCAAGAAGAAACATTACCACCTGTTGATTGAAGTGGGAGCAATTTATCTCCAACTCCAAGTGACAGGGTCACATCTGAGCTTTCACTTCGTAAGAGTACTAGAAAATGTATTCCATAATGTCATTTCGAGATTGAAGGGCAAGTTTCCCTAGTATCTCCAAAAGATGATGAAGAACCAAAATAAGTACAAGAAGCTATATAATGCCCTGAAAAGGAAAAGTGAAAGAAGAGATAGAGTCTGTGAAATTGAATCAAGAATGGGACTTGGTTGAACTTCCATCTGGTCGAAAAGCCATTGGAAACAAATGGGTTCTCAAAAATAAAGTGAAGGACTGATGGGACTATAGAGAGGTACAAGGCTCCCTAGGTGGCAAAAGGTTATACTCAACAAGAGGGTATAGATTATGGAGAGACATTTTCACCAGTAGTGAGATTTACTTCAATTCGCCTACTCTTAGCTATCGTGGCACATTTAGATTTAGAATTATATCAAATGGACGTGAAGACTGTATTTCCCAATGGAGAATTGGATGAAGAAATCTACATGCAGCAATCAGGGGGTTTCATTAAAACTGGTTAAGAGAATAAAGTTTGTAAATTGAATAGATCAATATATAGCCTAAAGCAGTCTTCTAGACAGTGGTACTTGAGATTTGACAAAGCAGTTATCTTGTAAAATTTTGTCATGATGGACAAAGATCACTGTATATATTTGAAAAAGTCCAATGAGAAATTTGTAATTTTATCTCTCTACGTAGATGATATCTTACTAGTTGGATATGATAAGGAGTATATTAATACCATTAAGAAATGGTTGTCCTCAAATTTTGAAATGAAGAACATGGGTGACGTAGATTACATATTATGTGTTAAAATCCACAGAGATCGTTCGAAGATGTTTCTTGCTCTGTTACAAGAGCCATGTATAAAGAAAATTTTTAACGTTTCAAAATGGAAAATTGCAATCCCATTGAAACTCCTGTATCGAAAGGTGAAAGTCTAAGCCTTCGTATGTGTCCTAAAACTCTTGAGGAAAAAGAATAAATGTCTAGAATTCCATACTCTAGTGCGGGTACGCTATGATGTGTACTCGCCTCGATATTTGTTATGCCGTAGGTCTGGTCAGCAGGTATCAATCTAATCACGGAAGAGAGCATTGAAAAGCTGTTAAGAGGATATTGAGATACCTGAAGGGTACTGCTAATTACTCTTTATGCTATCGAGTGAATAATTTGTGCTTAAAATGATATACTGATGCTGATTGAGGTGGAGACCTAGATGAGTGCAAATCAACTTTGGGATATGCATTCCTGCTTAATAATGGCAGCATATCTTGGACAAGCAACAACAAGCATGTATTTCCTTGTCCATAATGGAAGCAGAATTCGTAGCATGTGTTTCAACGATACAGGAAGCTGTTTGGTTAAGGAGATTCTTATAGTACGTATCTAAGAGTCCTTAGTTGTGAAGTGGGACCTATATTGATTTATTGTGATAGTCAGGCAACTATTGCATATAGAAAGGATCCCGAGTATCATAACAAAACCAAACCCATTAATACTATAAGAGATATCATAGGAAAGAAGGAAGTGAGTGTGCCATATATTTCTACGCACCAAATGGTAGCTGATCCATTTACAAAATCATCCCTAGAGATGTTTTTATGACTCATGTTAAATCTTTGGGATTGCGTAGAATTTGAATTATGTACTATGTAAACTTTTCATATAAGTCCATTAATGAACAATATTTAAGTTAATATGTTAAGAGTAATCATCTGCAATGATTTTTAGATTACTATTTAATATGTACACATAAAGTATGTCAAACAGGTTGAGATTGATTCACTCACACCAACAATTGCCTCAGACACTTTAAGGTGTGCTGAGATGAGATACATTGATCATATTGTGTACATGTTCCAGTCGCCTTGATGAGATATCAAAATGAGATTACAACAAGTAATTGGTATGAATTTTTTTCTTTCTCTATCCATAAAACCTGTTCTATAGCCAGATCGAGTTTTCAATTGGAATTTTATAGAGGAATAAAGATAAAGAGAACTCATATTAGATATTAAGGAATATCTTAACTATAATCTACATGGTTTATTTTATTTGTAAGATTAGACATACGCCTTAAGAAATGGAGAAAATATCGTAACATGTATTTCATACCACGTGTGCTTTAACGATCAATGAGAAATTAAAGAATTGATTCCCGCTTCTTCATTGTGTGAGTCTCCGAGGCATTTATGACATCAAAATTTTATACTCTTATTACTTTTGACTGTTTCTCAAAATTTTATTTTCGGTGTTACTACTTTAGCATGTTGTCAATAATTATGATTGATTCGATTTGATGGAACATATCTAGGAAAGCAGCTGATTTGAAATTAAGGGATTTAAGTAGGAAATGAAGACTATTTTATCTAACACCTTAGCTTGTATTCACCGGTCGGACAATTACGTTAACTATTTGAGTTTTGAGACACAATTGTGAATACAATATATATGAGAAAGTTGAGTATATTCTTTGGTTTATTGAGGAATTAGAAATACTTGAACTTGTGTTACAAAATATGTCGGGGTATAGCGAGAAAATATATTTCCTCTTGTAGAGTTGTTATATATCCCTAACATGTGTATAGTGTTGTGTGCTCTTAACTTAACTCACTGGTCGCACGATCCATTTACCCCTATAAACTTGGAGATGTTGAGATACATATAATTGAGATTATATTATAATCAAGTCAAACCCACCATGTGCGAGTAGAAGATGTTGGAAGAAAACGAGTAGCCCATGTGGATTGACCCTACCTGACCCTATTTGTATAGGATGATTTTTTGAAGGGAGGAATTAAATTTTGAGTTTAAAATTTAACCTCCCATCACTCTCAACCATACATATAACTTCCATTATACAATAAAAAAAATATGTGCAAAAATTCGGGTTTTTTCAAAAGGGTAAAAAGTAGATGAGATTGGAGGCTTGATTTATTGAAATATAAAATCTCAAATTGAGTTCTTGGATTGTGGCTATCAAATTCCTTCCATTGTGATCGAGTTTTTGACCAAGGAGTGAGTAGAAGACAGTGTGGAAAATAAGCTCAAAAGGCAAGTGATTCAACCTCGTTTTGAGATTTTAAAGTAAGTTTTATAATTTAGAATTCGATTAAAATTGAATGCCTGCTGTTGCTGCTACTGCTGCTGCTACTTCTTGTTCATCTTCGCCATCCAAACTCCTTAGTTCATCTGAGTCACTGTAATATGTGTCTGAATCCATTACCGCCTGCTCATTTGTAAGACCAAATCCACAACCCTTGCTTCATTTATGTCCTCCAACATATTTTTCACATCTTGCTCATTGTTAATTCTGACTAAGCCTTTTCCCAATGACACTTTGGGCTTCATATAGAATAATCCATTTCCATATTAGGTCCACAAGCTTTTAAAAATTTGTCCAGTGTTTCACTAATCAGAAAAGTTGGATGAACAAAGTCTATATACAACACTAAACCAGGCCCATAGGTGATATTGTTTGGTTTATCAAAGAACCTCCATTGTGAAATAATCTAATTTGGACCTACATGAGCATGGTAATGACATTCAGTTACGAATGTACTGTCTGCAATCTCATTATGAAACAGGAAAATAAACTAATCATATTTGGGATTAAATATGAGTTCAATTGCATAACACTATAAAATTCCAACACAAACAACCTCCAAAACAAAGAACATTAACTATTCCTTTCGACAGTAACGATCACTAAAATCATGGGAAAATTTTAACAGTAACGAGCACTAAAATCATGGAAAATTTAGTTCATAGGTACATACACGCCAAAAATAATCAATATAAACAACAAAAAAACACACAAATACTTTTTTTTCTCTTCCCGTCGACAAACTGTAAAACCCGCTTGTTAAGATAAAGCATTTTTTTTAAAAAAAATTAACATATATATAACAATACATCTATACGCGTTTATTTCACGGAATGTATTAACGGAATTTGAGAAAAGGACCAACTCCGCAAGAAAGGTTTGAAATGAGGGTGCAAGTGTTAAATTTAAAATAGAAGAAAATATTTTCGCAGTGAGTACAAACGATAGTGATGTTTTGTGCTAATTACTCAAAAAATTTGAGTGCATAAGTGCGAAAATGAGTTTTGTAATAGTAATTTTTTTTAGAATACGTCGATAAAGGTCAGTAAAAATTTTAAAATTACGTGTGAAATTAATTTTTTGTAGGATGTGAAATAAAGAAATGTGTTTTTCATGAACTTGAAAGGCTGACTTGATCCTCAAAATCTCATTCAACACGCGTACAAAATCAAAATAAAGAATAAATATCAAAACATTTTTTAAATGGTGTTCAATTTCCATAGGCGGCGCCACTTCTTAAATGGGCCAGCCAAATGGACCGCCGAATCTGCTAAAATTAGATCCAATGCCACGTTTTGTGAACATCCAATAAGATTTCACCACGTCTGTCGGCGAATTGTCTGAGTCATTTATCTACAGGTCCCGATACTTGACTGCATCATTTCCCACCACGTGGCGACAATATATACCGACATCAGAACAATCAACGATTCCCAGATTCTCCATAGTATTTCTAAATTCTTTTCCACAATCTTACACATTATTCAGTCAATGCATTGCACGTTCATATTTGAGGAAAGAAAGATGATATTTCATAATCAGAATCAGGGGTCACCGGCGCCGGAAATTTTTTCACCGTCGTTGGATTCCGGCGGGAAATTGTCGACGGGATTGAATACTAAGGAAAGAATTGACAAGGTAAGAAGTGTTGTCCGGAGAAAGGAACTCAGGAGAATTAAGTCATTATATCTAAAAAATTCTGCCGGTGCTGACAGAGATGTATGTTTTAAGAAAAGGCTAAAAGGGAATGATTCTGAGCCAACGAAAAGTGAGGAATTCAATCAGTTACAAAAAAAGAGGCCATGGAGGAATGATTGGGATGGTGGAGACTTTGGTTCTCACGGTTCAATATCAGTTATTGGGAGGCAGAGAGAAATGGAGGATGCGGTGGCGGCGGAGGTAGGGTTTTTAACCAAAGGTTGTAAAAGGTATGATTTTTTCGGAGTTTATGACGGCCATGGCGGATCACGGGTGGCACAAGCTTGCCGCCACTGGTTGCACAAGTTGGTGGCGAAGAGAGTGGAGGAAGAAGGCGAAGAGATTAATTGGGAAGAGGTGATGGTAGCGGTTTTTAAGGAAATGGACGAGGAGGTTAATAAGAATGGGGCGGCAGTTGCCACGATGGGGTCAACTGCGACTGTGGCAGTGGTGGGGGAAGAGGCGGTGGTGGTGGCGAATTGTGGGGATTCAAGGGCTGTGCTTTCACGTGGCGGAGTTGCCATACCTTTATCCATTGATCATAAGGTATCTTCATGTTCATGCAAGATTTTTTGTCCCGGGATCTTCTAGAGATGAGATAAAGAGATTTAGCCCCGTTTTGTCCAATATTCTAAAATTTATCTTTTACAAATTCGTTTTCAGCCGTAAACTTATAAATCAATTTTACAAAAATACATTTCATCGCCTTTTTTCAAAGTCTCGTAAATATGTAATTTTTAGCTAAATTATATGTTTTGTTAAAGCTTATAAGCAATTTATTTTCTAATTCTTGGATAGAACAAAAAATTAAAACATATTTAATAAAAAAATCACTGAAAGTTGGGTCGAAAACCACGATTTTCTTATCTAAACCTTTCAACTTTGAGAGTGGACCAATTTTTTTTATAAATAGTTAGATATCTACTAATTTGATTTAAATATATCTTAATCTTTACATGTTTTAATATCACATGGAAAGAATCAATTAATTTATTTAATATATAGAGAGAATCAATTATTTTATTTAGTATTCATATATTAACTACAAAAGAATACTATGAAGTAATTTAATATTTAGATCTTAAACGTTTCAAGTAGGTGACATTTGATTAGAATTTTGTTTAAAAAGAGAGTTTTACTTTAATGTTTAATTGAAAAAAAAAAAATCTTTCATTTTATAGCGCTTGTTTGGTAGAGATTTTTTGGGGAATAATTGATTTTTGAATAATGATATGATGGGAAATGTGTTGTTGAAAAAGAAGAAAAAATTATTGATGTGATGGAAAATATTATTTTATTGAAGAATGTGTGATTGAAAATGAGAATTGATTTACTATAAAATTTGAGAATAAAAAACAAATAGGCCCATAATATCTCGTGATATAATTTACTAGTCAAGCAGCATCACTATCTCCTTTATGATAAAGAGCATATTTTCTTTTCGCATTTGGAGTCTATAAATTTTTTTGAAGTAAGGATGGCAACGGAACGGATCAATCATTCTCACATCGTCCTGTCAAATATTTTTGTCATCTTATTTCATCCTCATACCCCGTTAAAACAAGACGAGAAAGGGCGGGATCGGAACGGGCGGGTATGTCCCCTACTCCATTTATCGCCCCATTTATTTATTTATTTTTGTTTTTTATTTATTTTATATCTTTAATTAGTAAATATTAAAAAAGGGGTATGTCCCCTACTTCATTTATCGTCCCATTTATATTTTTCCTTTTTTATTTATTTTATATCTTTAATTAGTAAATATTAAAAAAGTTAGAACAACTTATATTCTATTTAAATACAATGATAATTCTATTATTTTTGTTTAATAAAAAATTTAAATTTGAAATTAATTTTAAACCGGCGGGGACTATGTTTCCGGTATCCGTTTCGGGACAATGATTCAGACTTCGTCCCGTCCCTTTTTCCCAGTTAGACGGGTAATTCCCGTCCCATTCATGGCGGTGTCCACAGGTATCAAGTTGAACGAGTTTTGTTGTCATCCCTATTTTGAAGCAATGAGGATCAACTCTCTCTATTATAAATATAGAGAGTTCGTCAATTTATCGCATATTCTAAATTCGTGTCATCATTCTGTGCAGCCTGGAAGAGCTGATGAGTTGAAGAGAATTGAAGACTGTGGAGGAAATGTCATTAATTGGAACGGACAACGTGTCTTAGGAGTTCTTGCAACTTCAAGATCCATAGGTGCGTATAACACTAGACAATATAAAAAATAGATAGATAGATAGATAAATAAGAGTAATTGAGAGTTTATGATAGTGGCTTTAATGTGATATTTTATTGCAGGAGATTATTACCTTAAACCATTTGTGATACCAGAACCTGAAGTAACTGTCACCAATAGAACTGAAATGGACGAGTTTATGATAATAGCCAGTGATGGTCTATGGGATGTAATATCCAATGATTTGGCATGTCGGATCGCAAGAAAGTTTTTATATGGCTACTTGGGGCCGAGAAATTCTAGTCGAGCTACTCACGGAGAAGAAATGAACAAGGAAAGTCGTGCTGCAAAGGCAGCGGCAGCTCTAGTGAAGTTGGTCATGGCTCGGGGTAGCAGAGATAACATTAGCGTTATTGTAGTTGACTTGATGAGACCGGAACAATATTTGGTTCAAACTGGCAAATGTTTTAGCTAGCAAATTCAAGATTAGTATATGGAGTAATGCTATTTAGCCCCACGGGTATTTAACATCAATGCATTAGTGACATTAAATTACATATTCAATTAAATGAATCACATAATTTCACATTTAATTGAACATATCACATAATGACATAGATTGGTGCTATATACCACTGGTATTAGATAACATTATTCTAGTGCCAATATTAGTAGTATATGCTGTTCAATTGGAAGAAAATGAAACATCTTGTATTTAATGTTAGCTCTATGAACAATCATGAGGAATTTGCTTAAAAAGTCTAGTTAACAATAATATTTGGTAAAATAGTCTATATCAATAATGTTTGGTAAAATAACCTTTAGTCTGTCTTATCATGTATTAAAAGTCATAAATACCCTTTATTTGAAATGTCTAAAATGTCCAATTTCAAACCAAAATTTTCCAAAATCCCGTAACAGAATTCCCAATTTCATTCTCACTTTTCATACCCAATTTATAACCAACGGCAAAATGGCATGCTGCCTTTTTAAACGACTGAGTGCCGTTTTAATAAATTTTGAATTCGTTTCACATTACGTTCCCTCTTATTCACATAAAAATTAATAAAACTTGTTTTAACTATATCTTGAGTGAAATTCAAAATTCATAACCGAAATGACATGATATCGTTATAAATGATATGATGGCGTTTTAACTAATTTTGTATTTGTTTTATTTTATATTCTCTCGTACACACATGAAAACGAAAGTAGAAAAATTTTAACTATATTTAGAGTAAAATTGAGACCCGCTACCAAAATGGCAAGTTGCCGTTTAAAATTACTGGGTGTTGTTTAACCTGATTTCTTATCAGTATCACATTGTTTTCACTCATATCTACGTGAAAATGAGTGAATGCAAATTTTCATTGCGAATAATGGTGTTGATACAAAGTTCACACGATAATGATCAACACTATTGTTAGGTAAGTAAACTACACTAGATTTAACTACGAACGAAACTAAGTAATTCAAATTCTATTATATTACAATTATAAGATAAGATACTGAACAAATTAGTTTGTTTTACTTGTAAAAGTTTTCTAAGATGTTTCAAGAGAAGATCGACTAATTTTTGAGTGAAATTGAGACTTCGTAACCTAAAACGACATGCTGTCATTTTAAATGGTTGAATGTCGTTTCAACTATTTTTATATTTGTTTCACTTTATATTTACTCGTGTCTATATAAAAATGATCAAAATCAAGTTTTCACTACGTTTGAATACCAAGTTTTTACTCCTTCTCCTTAATGCGATAATTCTCCATACAAGGCTAATGATTTTACAACGATCACATTCAGCAACAGAACTCCAAATTATATAGACCAGGAAACCTACTAATTTTAATTAGGAGTTTTTTAAATGAAAAATTGGACCCAAGTATAAAAGTGCATAAACATTGATGAAGTGAATTGTCTACATTCATATGGGGCGCTATATATAGTGTTGAAAAACTGTGTCGCAAAATGCACATTTCAATGAAAATCTGTGTTTAAAAAGGCATGTCTTGTTGAAAAAATACATGTCCAAAAGTACACGTCTTGAAGAATTCAATAAAATATATAAGAAAGCACACAAAGAATTACATGGTTCGGCCCCAGTGTGGCAAACCTACATCCACGGGAGAAGAGAGACGACTATATTCACTTATGTTCGAAGTGTTACAATGACACATATATAGTCATATTACAACAAGGTTGCCTTATTATAGATGAGACAATCACGGAAATAATATAACAAATTGTGAAAATATTCAATTATCATCAATCAATATTCTCCAAATCATATCATAATATTTTCTTCAATATTAGCAAATATTCTTCAAATCACCAAATATCTCGCTTCTTCAACACTCCCCCTCAAGTTGGTGCAAAAATATCGATAGAGACCAATTTGGACAATATCTCATGAAATTTGACAGTTGATAAGCCTTTGGTGAAAATATCAGCCAATTGCTGGCTACTACGAATGAAGGGGGTGCAAATAATCTTGGTTTGGACTTATTCGCGTATAAAATGACAGTCAACTTCCATATGTTTTGTCCGCTCTTGAAAAACTGGATTTGAAGCAAAATGTATAACAAATTGATTATCACAAAACATTTGGGAGGGTTGTGACGAACCAAATCCCAATTCCTTCAGCAAAGAACGAAGCTCAATAATTTTACTGGCAGTAAACCATTGCCCGATATTCGGCTTCAGCACTAGAGCATGAAACAACGTTCTGCTTCTTACTCCTCCATGTCACCAAATTTCTCCCAATAAAAGTGCAATATCCAGTGGTAGATCTTCTATCAACAGCACTATCAGCCCAATCTGCATCTGTATAACCAAAAATAAGAGAATGACCATTTTGACGCATCCATATTCCTCTTCCAGTTGACCCCATGAGATAGTGCAAAATTCGATTAACGGCATTCCATATGTGCAACATGTGAAGAATGTATAAAGCGGCTCCATATACCTCTTCCAGTTTACCCCTTGAGATAGTGCAAAATTCGATTAACGGCATCCATATGTGCAACATGTGGAGAATGCATAAAGCGGCTAACATCATATGAGATATCAGGTCGAGTAATTGTGAGGTAAATTAATCTTCCCACCAATCTTTGGAATTGACCCACGTCAGATAATATATCGCCAACAAGTGTTAATTTGGAATTACAGTATAGGCGTTTGAGCTGGCTTAGCACCTAATTTTCTAGTGTCTTTTAACAAATCCAATACATATTTTCTTTGGTTTAGAAATATGCTAAATGTCCAATTTCAAACCAAAATTTTCCAAAATCCCGTAACAGAATTCCCAATTTCATTCTCACTTTTCATACCCAATTTAAAACCAACGGCAAAATGGCATGCTGCCTTTTTAAACGACTGAGTGCCGTTTTAATAAATTTTGAATTCGTTTCACTTTACGTTCCCTCTTATTCACATAAAAATTAATAAAACTTGTTTTAACTATATCTTGAGTGAAATTCAAAATTCATAACCGAAATGACATGATATCGTTATAAATGATATGATGGCGTTTTAACTAATTTTGTATTTGTTTTATTTTATATTCTCTCGTACACACATGAAAACGAAAGTAGAAAAATTTTAACTATATTTAGAGTAAAATTGAGACCCGCTACCAAAATGGCAAGTTGCCGTTTAAAATTACTGGGTGTTGTTTAACCTGATTTCTTATCAGTATCACATTGTTTTCACTCATATCTACGTGAAAATGAGTGAATGCAAATTTTCATTGCGAATAATGGTGTTGATACAAAGTTCACACGATAATGATCAACACTATTGTTAGGTAAGTAAACTACACTAGATTTAACTACGAACGAAACTAAGTAATTCAAATTCTATTATATTACAATTATAAGATAAGATACTGAACAAATTAGTTTGTTTTACTTGTAAAAGTTTTCTAAGATGTTTCAAGAGAAGATCGACTAATTTTTGAGTGAAATTGAGACTTCGTAACCTAAAACGACATGCTGTCATTTTAAATGGTTGAATGTCGTTTCAACTATTTTTATATTTGTTTCACTTTATATTTACTCGTGTCTATATAAAAATGATCAAAATCAAGTTTTCACTACGTTTGAATACCAAGTTTTTACTCCTTCTCCTTAATGCGATAATTCTCCATACAAGGCTAATGATTTTACAACGATCACATTCAGCAACAGAACTCCAAATTATATAGACCAGGAAACCTACTAATTTTAATTAGGAGTTTTTTAAATGAAAAATTGGACCCAAGTATAAAAGTGCATAAACATTGATGAAGTGAATTGTCTACATTCCTATGGGGCGCTATATATAGTGTTGAAAAACTGTGTCGCAAAATGCACATTTCAATGAAAATCTGTGTTTAAAAAGGCATGTCTTGTTTAAAAAATACATGTCCAAAAGTACACGTCTTGAAGAATTCAATAAAATATATAAGAAAGAACACAAAGAATTACATGGTTCGGCCCCAGTGTGGCAAACCTACATCCACGGGAGAAGAGAGAAGACTATATTCACTTATGTTCGAAGTGTTACAATGACACATATATAGTCATATTACAACAAGGTTGCCTTATTATAGATGAGACAATCACGGAAATAATATAACAAATTGTGAAAATATTCAATTATCATCAATCAATATTCTCCAAATCATATCATAATATTTTCTTCAATATTAGCAAATATTCTTCAAATCACCAAATATCTCGCTTCTTCAACACTCCCCCTCAAGTTGGTGCAAAAATATCGATAGAGACCAATTTGGACAATATCTCATGAAATTTGACAGTTGATAAGCCTTTGGTGAAAATATCAGCCAATTGCTGGCTACTACGAATGAAGGGGGTGCAAATAATCTTGGTTTGGACTTATTCGCGTATAAAATGACAGTCAACTTCCATATGTTTTGTCCGCTCTTGAAAAACTGGATTTGAAGCAAAATGTATAACAAATTGATTATCACAAAACATTTGGGAGGGTTGTGACGAACCAAATCCCAATTCCTTCAGCAAAGAACGAAGCTCAATAATTTTACTGGCAGTAAACCATTGCCCGATATTCGGCTTCAGCACTAGAGCATGAAACAACGTTCTGCTTCTTACTCCTCCATGTCACCAAATTTCTCCCAATAAAAGTGCAATATCCAGTGGTAGATCTTCTATCAACAGCACTATCAGCCCAATCTGCATCTGTATAACCAAAAATAAGAGAATGACCATTTTGACGCATCCATATTCCTCTTCCAGTTGACCCCATGAGATAGTGCAAAATTCGATTAACGGCATTCCATATGTGCAACATGTGAAGAATGTATAAAGCGGCTCCATATACCTCTTCCAGTTTACCCCTTGAGATAGTGCAAAATTCGATTAACGGCATCCATATGTGCAACATGTGGAGAATGCATAAAGCGGCTAACATCATATGAGATATCAGGTCGAGTAATTGTGAGGTAAATTAATC